GAAAGAAGAAGAAGAAGTAGAAGCAGCAGCAGAAGCAGAAGAAGAAGGAGGAAGAAGAGATGGAGGGCGAGAACAGGAGAAGAAGAAGATGTTGTCCTCCTCACTCTCACCTGCAGGTAACTGCTGCCATGTACTAACGAGCCGGCATGTCCCTCTGTGCTGCAGGTCGCTGGCGAAAAGTCCAGCTATGGCGCCCAGGTAAGTCCTCCGCCGCTGCAGGTATGGCCACCGCCTCTCTCCCTACCTACACCTTTACCTCTAGTGTAGTGCTGTATCGCGCTGCTTCAGCAGCGTGTCGCCCAAGAAGTGAACTACTCGGACTGTGTGTGCACTGGACTGGCCCAGCTGTCTATAGTGCTGGGCATGGCTGGTGTGCTCCTGGTCCTGGCCTGAAACGGCCTGCCTGGGTCCCTACCTGATGTCGAGGCCCTCCCTGCTGATGCAGCAGGGAGTGTCCGCTACCGGACGAAACTGAACTTGACCCGAAAGGGCCTGGCCACGAATGGAGAAGGCCCCAAACGTGGCCTTGGTCCGAACAGACCATAAGTCTGTTTGGACACACTGCAAATCCGAAACGACGCCTGAAACAGACAAAAATAGAACAACAAATAAATTAATAAATAAATAAATGCTGCCTCAAATCGAACCCTGCAGCCTAAAGGATGGTCGTGGGCCTCCAGGGCGCATGCCTGGAATGGCGTGCGGCCTGGGGGCCCCCAGCAACCGTTGGGCCTCCGCAATGGGGCCCGTGTGCAGGCTCAACATGTAACAATGGGGTGGGGAGAAACGGGGGCAGCGAGATAAGGGACGGTGTGTAAGACGGGAAGGGAAAGTTGGGGTGGTGTGTCTGGACCAGGGGGCAGGGCTAGGGGTCGGGGTGTGGAGGAACGGAGGGGGGTCGAGTACAAAGGAGTGAGGAAGACTGACGTAGTGAGGGGCGAGGGCTGGAGGGTGAACGACTGCGATGTGGCGTAGCCGTGTTTGGGGGGTTATGATTCTAGATGGGACGTTTAGGATGGGTGGCGAGGGAGGGTAAGACAGTGGGCGGCTCTGGATGCTATCTGGGGTCAATTTCGGTCGGTGGGAGGATGTGGGGGATGGTTGGAGGTTGCAGAAGATGGACAGCTCTGGTGGGGGATCCAAATGGTGGCTGGAGTGGGGGTTCGATTTCGGGCGGAGCGTGAGTGCGGGGGATGGTTGGAGGGTGTCAGTCGGGGAAAGGGGGGGGGGATGGGGGGGGCGGGGAGGATTTGGGGTAGGAGAAGGGTGTGAGTGAGCAGTGGTGAAGTTCCGCTGGGCAACGATCCTTACATCTTTCCTTGCCTTCCGCTTGTCCGTTCCTATTTGTGCGTATGTGCAATAAATCGCAGTTTCCCATTGGGGCTGTACACTAAGTGTTTGGCTTTGTAGTTTGTTTTCTTGTGCGTATGTGCAATAAA